CTTTGAGCTAACGAGTTTTCAACTTAACGAGGATTTCGAGATATAAAGGATTTATTGACCACAACTTCGACTTACAAAGGCATAATTATTATGTCTATTTTTCGATTCGTAGAGTAATATGAAATATAAATTCGACTTAAATGTCTTAAAGTAATAATTAAGAGATATAAAAAGTTAATAATAATTTAAGTTAGAATGCTTAAAAAAAATTTAAGCAAGAAAAATAAAGTTAAGCAGAATAATAATGAGATAAAAAAAAGTTTTAAAAAATTAGTTATTTTTTTGCGTCACAGAATTAAGAAATTCTTTATCAATATCTTTTCTAAATCAAACAATGAACCGAATACATGATCTTTAAAATTAGAACATTTTTCAATGTTGCTTCGCAGTATGTGCAGAGCTTGTTTGGCCTGTCTATTCGATATACTTGCGGTTCATTATCTAATGAATCGTCGTCATCAATGTTGTCATCCTCTTCAGTTTGATGTACTCCGTTAAGGATTTCAGAATCAGATAGTGTTCCAGTAGTCGCTAGTCCATCATCACATGACACAAAATCCTCAAATTGAACGTCTACATTTTCAAGTCTGTTCCAATCAGCTTCTAAGTTCACGTCTCGATCAAAAGTGACTTCTACTGCTTCTTCGGAAAGCACAACAAAACCACATTTTTTGAAATAGTTAGAAATTGTAATAAAAGTTACATTTCTCCAAGATTTGTCTATAAATCTAACCGCATGTAGCACGTTTATACGGAACCTATTATATTTGTAGCTAGCAATAGGGTAAGTCGCTCTTTACTGTGCTTACCTCCATAGCATTTTTCATTTTTAAAAATAAGGGTTTTGTCAGGTAAACATTTAAAAAAAAGTCCAGTCTCGTTGGCATTAAAGATATACTTCGGTTCATAATCTTTTAATAAACTGTGCAGTTCAATCTTCCAATCGTTGCATATTTTATCACTTACACTTGCACTTTCGCCGCAAATTTTTTTAAAAACAAGTTCATGGCGCTTTTTAAATTTCCCCAACCAACCATTACTGGCTCGAAAAGAATTATGTCCCAATGATTTCGAAAATGATTCTGCATTTTCGCGAAGGATTGACCCACTAACACTAATGTTATTGTCACGACACTGCTGAAACCATGTCAACAAGCATTCTTCCAATTCAGGAAACTCAGCTTTACGATGTCTTTTGGTGAATAAATTGTTACTTAATTTGTATGTAAAAAATCATCATTCGGAAAAAAGAAAATATCTCATGAAATGCTTTATGAAATGAAATGAATTTTAAACGGAAATAATGGTGAAAAAATGTATTATTTTATCAAAAATATGAGTAAAAAAACAATTTGTTTTATCATAAATATTGTTGAAAAAAATTAATTTTAAACGGAAATATTGGTATAAAAAATTAAGTTTTAGAGGAATGAAATAATTTTAAAGGTTGAAAGAATTAATTTTTTCTATAAAAAATATTGTTAAAAAAATGAATTATTTTTATAAAAAATTTTGTTGAAAAAAATGATTTTTTATCAGAAAAAGTGAAATGCTAAAAATTATTGCGCAGCTTTAAAGGCTTAAGAAAACTACTACGCAGCCTTTAAAGTTTTTAATTTAAAAGACATAAATGAACACGTACCAATATATATATATTTTTTTTTTTGGATCATATATTAATTTTTTTAATAAAATAATTAATTTTTTGATCATTATTTACGTTTATAATTAATTTTTTTCAAATTTTTTTTTGTTAAAAAAATTAGGATATAGTTCCGAAAGCGTCTCACCTCCGATCTTAATGAAACTTGGTATACTAACCTATTTTGGTGCCCTGATTACGAAAATGATAGTAAAAATTGGCGCAAATGTAATTATCATGGTAAAAATCATAAAAAACGCCATAAAATCGTGGTTTTTTACGATTATCGCGTAAAAAATGCAAAATTTCGAAAAATGTTATAAATAAAAGTTGTAGGTCTCAAAAAAATACACATTTTTTGTTGTATGCATTTTTTACCAAAAGTGGTTATTTTTCGACAAAAATCCACAGTAGCAGTTTACGCAATTCACCCAAAAATTAATTTTTGTCACTATTATTTTTGATTAAATAATAAATTTTTTTTCACCCATATTTCCGTTTAAAATTAATTTTTTTCAATAATATTTATGACAAAAAAATTGTTTTTTACCAATATTTCTGACCTAATTTTTTTTTATAAAATAGTACATTTTTTTCATCATTATTTCCGTTTATAATTCATTTTTTTCAACTTTTTTTTTTTAATAAAAATATTCATTTTTCACCACTATTTTTTTTTATTAAAAAATAATTTTTTTGATAAAATAATACATTTTTTTACAAATATTTCCGTTTAACAAATTATAATTTTGCTATTGATAAAAAAATACAAAAAAAATTTAAAGAAAGAAAAAAAGAGTGCTGCCATCTACCTGCTAAAAAGCGCGGCTGTATTGATTTTATCGACAAATGTTGATAATAAACTGTGATAAATTAAAATTAATAAAAACATTAAATTTTTATAAATATTTAACAATAATTATCTTAAAATGCATAAAACTTATTGATTTTAAAAATTAAATTATCAATTTCATCATTTTTAATACATTTTAGACAAAATTTCAATCTCATCCTCGTGTTCCACGAATGCTCCGCGAATTTCGTGGAGAATTTGCATTCATACAATCCGCCAGGGTTTCCAAACGTTGAAGCTATTTTAAGTTTGTGTTGGACTCTCATGGTAACTAATTGTAGGAATGATGTATGCTGGTTTAGACAGGTTTTGATTTTAAGGAAAATTTTGAAACAAAAAACATTTAACAAAAAGTTTTATATGCAGTTCAAAAAGTACTATCCAGGGCTACAACATTGCCTAAGAAAGTAGTAATTTTTTCAGAAATAAGAAATTTACGTCTAATTTTCCGAATATGGTATTTCTGTTCAAAAGATAATTTGACATGTAGATTTAGACACACCTAGTAATTGTGAAATAATTAAAAGAAAATAAATAATCACATCATTTTTTAAAAGTTTCTTATTTATTTATCTATTTACGTTGAAGGTATTGAAGAATAAAAAAGTTTAAAAGTTTATTAATTTTTGTCAGAATTGGCAATTTGAGTCACTATTTTGTTTTGAAAATGTCTAATATCATCGGAGCTTATAAAAAAATTTTAGTTTATTTGTCCTACATTTATTCAAATGTTTAGTAAAACCTATTGTCATTTTTTCGTTTTTTTTCTTACAATTACTTATATTTTATCTAAATGTTCATTGGAGAATGATTGTTAGTGGGTGAATCTGATCCTTTTGGGGTTGATAGTAATTGGAAAGTATTCTTGAAAATTTCTAATGTTCTCAGAGCTTATAAAAATTTTTGGTTTATTTGTCTCATAGTTATTGACAATTAATTGAAATGTTTAGTTGGGGATGATCGTTAACAGTTGATTTTAATACTTTTAGGGTTGATAGTAATTGTAATATATTCTACGAGATTTCTAGTATTTATGGAATTTTATAAAAAATTTTGTTTTAGAAAATTTTGTTTTAAAGTCTAGTGACTCTCTGCGTCTCAACCTGCATGTCCGAACGTGTCTTAACCTGCTTACATCACTGCTATATTTTGATAACATAAAATTTTTTTATCGTTGTTAAGATATGTTTGAAATTACATTGGAATTTTAAAATAGTACAAAAACTGCTATGTAAATATTATATTCACTTTTTTCTATGACTATTAAATATACATTTTATTCACTGATGAACGAAAATGATTTAAAACACTTTTTTCTTAAACATTTTTAATGTGCTTTTTTCTCAAAAATGATTACAAATACAAAAAAGTTTATAAGAAGAAAAAGATGCTCCAGGAAATTTCCTAAAATATAGTAATTTGGAAAAATTGATTTTTAAAGTGCCAGGAGCCATCGAATACCGCTGTAGAAATATGTGTCGTTTTAATATCCGGTGCTCAATTAATTTTAACTTGTCTATTTTTTAAAAATATTTTTTGTCAACATTTTTTTCAAAATACTTCAAATATATACAAAATTATTCCAAAATGCCCGGAGGTCTAAGTTATTTTTTTAACCAATTAAAAAAAATCTTAAAAAAATAATATAATATAGTATTCCTCCTTAAATATTATTTAATAATAATTTTATAAATATCCACATTTGAAATAATTATAATATTTCTCCATCATAATTGTTTTTTTTAATGAAAAAAATATCTTTCGGATTTTAAAAATTTAAAAGACAAGGATGCTTAGTATGTTGGTCGATTTTTTAAAAAAGCGTCCACTTTTTAAGAAAAAAGTAATGTTAAATAAAATTTAAGCTTAATTTGTTTTGAGGAAACTTATGATAGAGAAATACAAAATAAGCTAAATTTTTTCATCCTTCATTTCTAAAAAAACAGAATCTTTTCAAAATATTATAATTGAAAAATAAAAAAAAATACCAGCTCAATTTTTTTTTATAAAATTTCTGAAGTTTTTTGGAAATATGAAGGGAAAAAATTTCATGGTTTCTAATTAACAATCATATTTTTTCAAAAAAAATTTTATTGTAAAAGTAAAAGAAAAAAATTTAATTATTTTCTATATTTTTTGCACAATTTTTTTTAACAAATTTCTAAAGTTTTTTTTAGAAATAATAAAAAAACGGTTATATTTTCTATTTCATGAATGTTTACGATTTGTAACTCATTACATCAGGTAACTTTTATTTAATGTTTTGAAAGGTAAACAAATAATATAATAATAAATATAATAGTTATAATTATTTATAAAAAAATATATTTATTATATAATTATAATAATATATAATTAATTTAATTTAAATTGGAGATACATAATTTTGTTCAAATTAAAAATTTCTATAAATAGTAACATATTATTTGTGACCAAACATCCAATTTATCAAAATTTATTTTAAATATTAAAGCATATTTTTTAATTCAAAATACATATTCTTACGTGATCACAGATTTAAAAAGGCATGTGTATTTATCCTGATTCATTCTACTGAGCTCACTATTCATCACAATTATTAAACTTACGTCTTTATATTTTCACGTGACACACAAGTATTGAAATAAATTTGTATAATAATTAAATTTCTTCAAAACTAATTTGGCTCTTATGAAATAACTAACTTTATTTCAAGTTTTTTGAAATTATATTTTATATTGTTTATTTTATGTTTATACAATCAAATAAAAATAAAAATGATTTTTAACTTATACGACGCATCAGATGGAGTTACTAAGAGACTGAAACGCTTCGTCCTGACATTCACTTTTTTTTACTCATTAAGCAACATACATCTACTATGTCATGAAGTGTCCAACATTTCATTCATTATAAACCACTTTACGAATCAACACGCATAATTTTGCTAAATCTCTGAATGTCAAAAAGAAGAGTATTTAGAGAGATCTGTTTATATTAACAATGAAGGTTTACGTTAAGATGAAAATGGTATAAAAATATTTAAATAGAATATATTGATAAAAATCGAGAAATAAATTTATGTGAAGGATTATAGTAATAAAAATTTACTATAATTCAATTCATAATATGTTTGTGTGTACGTAATTATCATTCCTTTTAGTAATTCAAGGCTTTTTTGGAAAAAAAAATAATTCTTTAAGGAAAAAAGCAAGAAATTATTAAATACTGTAAACTATAATTTTATTAATAAATAAAAATTAATATGTATGCGCAGTAGTTGTCAATGGCTGACTTTTGATCCGGTTTGGTAAACAAAATGAAAGTAAAAAAGGTACTTTTGATTTGGTTTAATAAATCGAAAGAAAAATATAATGTTGACTTTTGATTCCGATAGTATCCATCGCTATGTTACTCTAAACTTGAGACTTAAAACGTAACACTTAAGACATATGACTTGATTCAGTTAGAGAACTGAAAGAAACCGAAAAAAAATCTGACAAACTTTTGTTTCCTTTAAAAAACGAAATCAAAAGTACATTCTACATTCGTTTCGTTCACTAAACTAAATCGAAACTAAGTTAACTTTTGATTCTGATTTCGGAATCAAAACTTAAATGAACCAGAATCAAAACTGACTTTTGATTCTGATTTCGAAATCAAAACTGAACAAACTTGACTTCTTATTCCGATATCTTAATTAGAATTAAAATAAAAGTGTTTTCGAATTTCGTTTTGACTTCAGTAACTTTACAGCAAGCTTACCACAACCTTACACTGAAAGAAATGATCCCATGTTAAATGGGTAAATGTATCAATTACTGCACATGCCCAATTACTGCGGTTTCTATAAAATTAGTAAAACTATTACTATTTGAGAATATAAAACTGTTACAATATGACTTTAAAAATTAATCCAAATGTTATTTGATATTACATTCACTAAAGATGCCCATTTCAAATTTTATTAAATTAATTATATTCAAGTTTCAATTTAACCTAACTCAGTAATTAAAGCATTACCTCTAATTCATCGCTTTTAGCCACGAAGTACCCTATTGAAAAAAAACACGTATAATTGTACGTATAATAATACGTATAATTATACGTATTATTATACGTATAATTATACGTATAATTATACGCATAATTATACGTATTATTATACGTATAATTATATGTATTATTATACGTATAATTATACGTATAATAAGACATACGAATTTGAAACAAGAATTATACGTATAATTATACGTATAATAATACGTATAATTAATTATACGTATAATAATACGTATAATTATACGTATTATTATACGTATAATTATAATTCTATTAAAACTAGAATAATAGAATAGATTAATTAGTAGCAAAATAACGCTGAAAATTTTTAGAAATTTTAAAATGCAAATTAAATTTCACGAAAAAAAAATATCGTCGAATGTCAATTCAAGCAGTCACCCATCCAAGTACTAACCGCGTCCAACGTTGCTTAACTTCCGTGATCTGATGAGAACTTGTTCCTTCGCCTTGGTGTTTCCGCTGTCTTGTCTTGATTAATAACTTTGTCGTATAAGTATTGTATCGCACCTAACCTCACTTTTAGTGATACTTATACGACAAAGTTATTAATCAAGACAAGACAGCGGAAACACCAAGGCGAAGGAACAAGTTCTCATCAGATCACAGAAGTTAAGCAACGTTGGACGCGGTTAGTACTTGGATGGGTGACTGCTTGAATTGACATTCGACGATATTTTTTTTCGTGAAATTTAATTTGCATTTTAAAATTTTTTAAAATTTTCAGCGCAATTTTGCTACTAATTAATCTATTCTATTCTATTATTCTATTTTTAATAGAATTATAATTATACGTATAATAATACGTATAATTATACGTATTATTATACGTATAATTAATTATACGTATTATTATACGTATAATTCTTGTTTCAAATTCGTATGTCTTATTATACGTATAATTGTACGTATAATAATACGTACAATTATACGTATAATTATACGTACAATTATACGTATAATTATACGTATTATTATACGTATAATTATACGTGTTTTTTTTCAATAGGGTAGTATAAGGAGACATATCACCTATGGCCGGTTCTAACGGAATGTAGCCCTGTTTTCGGTATTCACAGTTCTCAAGTTTTCACCAATCTAATTACACTTGCGCCTCTAGAGGGAAACCTCGGTATTAAAACCACGTGTAATTCATGCAAACCTGCAGTAAAACCAGTATATTGTAAGAAAATTAATTTTAACGGGAATTATTTAATTTTCCAATCTAATTTATTTAATAAGAGATTAGTTATTTTATAATTAATTAAAAGAAATTAACAATAAATCCAGCTCTAAGCTAAATTGTCTGAGTCACAATTCGGACATTCGTACTAGAGTCCGCAGATTTTGGCGCACTTTAAGTGCACTTCTGTCTGACAGATTTCAATTCTCCAGATAACAATAATGCGCGCATTTAAGATCGCACTTAGTGATTCTCCTATGGTGCATGCAAAAGCAGTATGCTGATGCGACGCATGCGCTTACAGTCGCATTCATGCTAGCAAGAAGTTCTCTTAATGCCTTCACGTATGCGATTTCCTACAATGCATTTGAAATGCGCCTTCAATGAACTCACACAGTATGCGAATTACAATAAAAATTATTTAATTTAAATAGCTTAAAACATGCGTAATATTATGTTAAGATGAAAATTCTCTCTTGAAAACATAATTAATAAAAGTTAATAAGAAAGTAATTATTACTCTCTAAATCTGAATTAGTGAAATACTACTAACAAATAGTAAAATTTGACTAATATATGACTTTTCGCCTTTTTGTTAGTTAAATATAACTAATTTTTAGTAAATATTCACTAATTTTTTAGTATTATTTCACTAATCACTAGTCATCTGACTGACTAAATAAATTAGTCAAACTGTTTTATTGACTGTTAATAAGGCGGAATGACTAATTCTTTAGTCAAATTCTACTAACAATTAGTAAAATTTCACTAAATGTTAGTTAAATTGTTACTAAATCATTTAGTTTTTTCATTAGTAAAAAAATAATAATAAAGTTTGTTGATCAGATTTATATGAAATGGACTTTTAAAAATATGAGAATTTTATAACAAACTTATGAATTTATATATTTTTATTAAAATTCCTGTGATGAAAGTCCGTGAAAAATTTTGTATATTCTTTGAATATATAAAATTCCAGTAGCAATCGTTTTGAGTGGTATCAGAAATCAATTTCGGCCTATGTCGATTTCATCAATTAAGTAATTGATGCCTCCTTTCCAATTAGATATTTTTAATTCATTGAATAGATTAAAATTCCCGCGTCTGATTCACGTTTCCGAATGTAGGTGGCGCGTAATGCACTTGAGTCAGCTGACAGCCGGAAAATGACTATGTCAACTAATTCATAAGATAAGAAACGGTAAGAATAATATCATATTTTTATATAAATCGTGCGTATTTATAATTTAATGTGTTTATATCTTTGTGTTGTGATCTATAGAGGTAAGTTCGATTAATCAACATTTATTGATAAGATTAAGGATCCAATCGTGGCCTCGATAACAGTGGTGGTCATGTGCATGTATAATTTTAGGTTATTTTTTGAGTTTGGCTTAGAAGAAGAAAAATATAAATATGTCTCTTCACTTTAATAAAAAACTAGAGTAGTAAGAAATGTTAACAGAAATATAATATTTATTGTATTATATAACAAGTATTAAACGATCAATTGATGTTTCTAACCTCAAATATACTAGCACAAGGATCGCATTTAACTCGCTTGAATGCGAACTCATGTAAGAGACGCATAGGATCGTCCATGGATGATGCATCAGTATGCAACTATGAGATCATTGAGTGCGAATTAATTAGCACGTATGCGACTCCTTATGTTTGCACTATTCAAGCATTTTGTTATTTGGGTTGTTATAGAAAGATTAGAAGAAGAGACTTTTCTATACGAAATGTATGGTTGATTCTAGAAATGAGGGAATTTTTACTGGATTTAATTGGAGCATTAAAAAGATGCCGATAAGAAAAAATATTTTTTGCTTAAAATACACATCATAGTACTAAATTCTCATTCGTATGTCATGTCTTTTTGTGAGAATGACAGTTCATATTGTGAATAATATTATTTTTCAAGTGTTTAGCGGAAAATTCATACTAGGTTAGTAATTTTGAATATTTGTAGATTACTAATGTGGAAATAATTATAACATTACTCTTATAAAATATCTTCGGGGTCGCTGATTAAGATTCCGATGTCAGTTTTTAGAAATTAAAAATGTCTGATCCAATATGTCAGACAACTTTTGAAAAAACTTAATTTATTCATCTGAAAATAGTTACTCGGCTGTTTGCACGGTTTCAGATTACGAATCAGACGTTTGTTTTTTAAAATTCAAAATGGCGGATGGAATATGGCTGGCGAATTTTTCGAAAATCGCTTATGATTTACTACTCTGTAAAAAAGTTCTGATAGCACGAACCTGGAAAACCAATTGAGGGTCCCGATCAAATAACTAGACTGACGCTCGGAGGCACGGTCCAATGGTAGTCAAGACCGTTCATAAGTAAAAAAAAATTGGAAATTTAAATTTTTAAACGCACTACCATGTAGAGGACTAAAATGCGCAACTTTTTTGTCTTTGACATTTTTTTGTAGGATTATTATTTTTAATAGGAATAAAGAAAAACTGAAATTTTTTTCATTATCAATTTCATTGAAATTTAAAACATAAATCGTCCTATCTTGAACAAATCTTTATGAAATTAAATGAGATTTTGTGTACTAACGTATTT